GGCGTATCCCCAAAAGATCTGCCGAATTGGACACCGGAGCCCGACCCTGACACAGACACCCGCACCCGTGTTCATGTAGTGTGTTTAGAATTTTGTGGTAAACCATACACTTTTGTAAAAGATATAATATACCTAACAAAAATACTAAAAACACTCGGTTTCACACATTTATCCAGTTTATCATAAAATAATGTTCATTCAGCATCAACAATTAATTGGTATTGCAGAGGGTCAGATAATCTACATGTATGTTGGAAACATAGAGCCAGTATGAGCAAACATTGAAAAGCATATAAAGTAACATAAGTAAAGAATGGAGCACACATTCTGTTCTGTAGCAGGTGGGGCTTGAGTGAATCGGTACAGATACCTGATCTCTGCATTTTCCTTCTCAGATTTCAATTATAGTTCGATGTTAACAAAAGAATCTTCGGATTCAGGAACTTCTTTGGTTGCTGCTCAAATCCAGCATATGAAAATGTCTTCTTGAACACAACACCATTCACCAGAAAAGAATATCTCTAGGTACCTTCAGGAACCTAAGATGCATACAACAGGTATTAATGTCTTATCATGAAAAATCAAATGAATACTATATTATGTGGCATGTCTGGTATGTAAAGCCTGTAATCAAAGGCAAAATAAAGCAATGAACGCATAAGAGGTGTACTGGGCACCTTGACATATTTTGTAATTGACTTGATTAGCTAGGTGTTTCAGTCAGAGAAGCGATGCATAATGTATGATTCATGTCGAAGATAACTTCGATTTTTTGACAGCCAGAGACCGTGACTAATAAGACACACAATCACCCGTTGAGTCTTAGAGTACTGCATAAAAAATGGTCTAGGAATTTTCATGATTTAGTTACCTTGAACTCTTAGGCGTGCTAGCTGTGACGGCGTCCCCAGGCGTCTACAGATCGTCTCCAGGGCATTGGTGCAGGTGCATCACTCACCACAGCTGGACAGTAACATTGATCAACATTGGGTGCTAAACAATCTTTAAAATATTCACATTCACTTGCACGGTTGCAGTTGCACTGGCATCACTCACCACCGTCCACCGAGCAAACCAAGCCAATAGCAGAATCCAAGGCCTGAAACTGATCCGCGATCAAAGAAAAGCGCACAATAAGCAACAGCACACGGGTGCGTGAGGGATGGCCTCGGCCTGAATCCTGTCCAGCGCCCCTGTCCGTCGTGGCGGTGGCGGAGGCGGAGGATGCGCGCAGCGGAGCAGGCTGCTGTGCAACAGCACACGGGTGCGTGAGGGATGGCCTGAATCCTGTCCAACGCCCCTGTCCAGGTCATTACGTGATTAAAAAATATAGTTACTAAATCACAGAGAAAACCAATACAGTGGTAGATCTATATAATAGAAAAAAAAATCTTGGTAAAGTGACAACTCTAGCATTTTGTGAGATCGAGCTTTCAAAATACATGAATACAAGAAAACAAGCAAATTATTCTTAGATGCTCACGCATAACCTGACCAAGGAAAACAACACTAAAAAAAAGATGTATAGTGAACCTACCGTAACATTCAAACGGCCTGTTCACTGGTTGGTTTCTGGGTTGATAAACTCGGTTGATGTTGGTTTGTTGTGAGAGAAAAAAGACTGTTGGCTTGGCTGAAACCAACAAACGAATAGGTTGAAAGGAAATCGGATTTAAATAACTTGTGACCGTCACGTGCTTCCAAGTTAAAAGGGTTTAATGATTTTGCTGCTGCTCACACCAGGGCTGCCTACGCCTAGATGGGGATGGATGAGATGCAAGTAGGAAATACATCAGGGGATTGATTGGCTCACCGCTGGATACCGAGGAGGGCGGCGCAAAGCAAAGCAAGCCACATCGGGAGGGCGCGGCGCCACGGAGACTCGAGTGGGTAGCGTTGTCAAGACTCCACGCCTTCTTCTCGTGACGATCGGCCTTATGTCAGAGGGCGCAGCGTCGCCAAGACTCAAGACACCGCGCCGAGCATGGTTCGTCGTGGACCGAGACGCAGCAGAGAGACACGGAAGGAAGCCTCAAGCACGCGAGGCGGCGTGTTCTGGGCGGCGACGCGAAGCAACGACGGAAGAAGGGGAGCGAGAGAAAAAAAGGAAGGGCCGCACAAGGAAGGGAGCAGCGCCGCGATCAACGTGGTGCGCGCGCGGCGTTGTTTCCTACTTCAACGCCGGGGGAGGAACAACGCCAGTGATGAGGTCCCACCTGCCGCCAGCGGCGGTAGGGGAACGAGGGAAAGGCGGACCGACGGAAGGATCTCGATGCACGTGAATAACGCAGGAACATTGGATGGGATGGGATGGGATGGGATTGGGAGGGAATTGATTTTTGGCTTCTTGATTTGTCGCGGTCATTATAGGGATTGAGCTGATCGCATGGAGCGAGTGCGCGTTGCCTTCCCGATCCGATCGCATGGAGCGGTTTTAGTGTCGCACTGTGGACGGAATAGTTATGAATGTTTTAGTTGTGTAGATTAGGATCGAAACCGACATCGAACCGGTGGGTCATCGCTTTACTACTTCAACCGTTAAGAACCGCCGTTCGACAGCTTTAAACTGGGGATAAATTGAACCACCGACAAATACTTCAGAGTAGTGCGCTATAATGATGTACAATAGATAATTAGCAACATGAAGTTGATCACATGTACAAATAAGCCGATAAAGGAAACCATTATATAATTAGCTTGCAACTAATCTAGCTAGAAATCCACAAAAAAAATTATTATATAGAGTACGAATTGGTGCAAAAAGACTTAAATAGTAATTCAAATATCCACCGTTACAAAAAACTCAAATGCTGAAATTGAGTGCACCAATACGAAGAGCTCGTCGAGATAGTCAAAATATATACGTTATTTGACGATTCTTTTGGTGATTTTCTATAATTATTTCTAAATATTTTTCTCATTTTCCTAGAGCAAAATCTAATTTTTTTTAAGCTTCTGAAGATAATCCTTATGATTTTTCTAAGGTTTTTTAGAAGCTTCAAGTCATTTTTTTAGAACCTTGTCAAATATTTACCATTTTTTAATAAAAAATAGAAAAGAGACCGGAGCAATGTGTAATTCTCAAAAGAAAAAACAATTTAGATAATTCAAAGGAAAAAATGAGAATAAAAATTAAATTATGACGATATCTTAAAGAGGTAAAATTGAACTTTTCCAACGGAACCCAATATGGCAATATCCATCCATAGGTGGAGAGGGGAGCGCATGAGCGCAGTTGCAATTTGCAAGTCACAATCACAACATTTACTTGAGAGTTCGTTTAGTGTGGCCACGCTATTTAACTCGAGAGTATCTCTGGCAGACTATTTAAATAGGGCTCTAATCTATATTTGGATAGTGGAACAAAATATCAATCTTCAACAAGTTACTACTTAGGCCTCATTTAGTTGGCGAAATTTTTTGGGAAATAATACTGTAGTACTTTCGTTGTTATTTGACAATTAGTGTCCAATCATAGTCTAATTAGGCTTAAAAGATTCGTCTCGTGAATTTCATCTAAACTATATAATTAGTTTTATTTTTTATTTATATTTAATACTTCATGCATGCGTCTAAATATTCGATGTGACGGAAAATCTTAAAAAATTTTGTAAAATTTTAGGAACTAAACAGTTACTTGGTCCCACAAATTTGTTCGCTACTTCAATCATTCCCCTTCCACCAATCTAACCCATTCTCACGCGTCAAGGAGGGGGTCTCTAACTTTCCGTTACACTGTTTTTTCACCCGCTATGCCTCGGTTACTACCAACCCTGCGCTTGTTCCTCGCCGGGCGTCGCCTCCTCCGTACCGGAACCTCCCCGCCTACTGCCTCACCGCGCAGCCATCATCTTCTCCGTGTCCGGTGCCTCCTCCCTGCGTGACCCCTCTTCCGCACTCGATTCCTCCCCGGGCGATGTCGCTGATGCCGCCTTCCTCCGCCACCACACTTCACCCCTGTCCAATTCAAATACACTTGGTTCCTCTCGCTCGTAGCCTGCCACGTCCGTGCTCCCTCTGGCCGAGCCGTGGCCAGCCCCAGGAGGACCGGACCATGGGTCTAGAGCAACTCGTCGGCTTGCCCTTTGCCACTAAAGTGGTCGACGCCGGCCGAATCGGCCATTCTCCTCTTCGTGCTAGTGTTGTGCCTACGTGAAAGAGGGTGTAGGGAAAGGAAATAGAAAGAAGACATGATTCCGGGTGAGAAAGTGCTAGAGAGAAAGAAAATTTTGAAAGAGGTGAGGTGATTTAGAAATAGTTTGATGTTCCAATAAAAAAGAATATGACACTATTTTAAGTGGTACTGCTGAACATATAACAACTTAAAACATGAGGCTACCTAAGCAGACAATGCTGATTATGTTACCTTGCTAGATCTTTGTTAAAAGTACTATTTGATCTAAAAAATGAAAATTGTAATCATGCCGAGCCCAGGTTGAAATGCCACAGCATGTAATGAAAAGACCTCTGCTCAAAGACTGAGGTGAAAGTAGCAGCATTCCGAGAGAGACGAATGTAGCTCTTCCAGCCCCATTTTTATACCTGTACACATACATCCCACCAACAACAAATGATCACTGCTTCATTTCCCTTTTTTACTAGGCAGCAAATCACTGCTTCATTTCCCCCTTTTTACTGGGCAGGCGGCAGCAAACCATATACAATTTTACACTGCCTGAGAAATCACCGACACCCCATACAAAGTTAATCCACAGCATATATTCTTCATCGAAAAACCAATCACTGAAACTGAAAAGCATACAAGCTGCAACAGCAAAGTAGAAAACTGTAGGATCCAAATATCCAATCCAATATAACCATCTCAATTTCATCCACAAAACATCGCTTTGCGAGCATCAAAACGAAAACTGAACACCAGTATGCATCCATGCAACCATCCTCAAAATTCAGGCAGCATACATGAGTATGACAACAACATATCCTCAAAATAGGAACTCTGCTTTCAGATGAAAATCCTGCATCTGGTTCTGACAACTGCCTCATCTCCTCTCCGCACCCTCGCTACCCCTGCTGAAGCCTGCCGTTCCATGCCTGCAGGAAATAGAGAAGGCCGTGATCAAATATAAGAAGTAGTTAACAACGCTACGATTTGGGTCGAGAAAGGAATTGCAAGAACTTATCCTTAAAAACTTTCATCATCTGCTAGGTACATGTTCTGGTAGCTTGTCACTCCAGAATTTATACTAATCCAGGAGGTCAGGTTAATTCCAATGCAAATGCAGTAGAGCTAGGATCCCAACTATGCTTTTACCGCTCCTATCATCATCAGGATAGCCGTTTCATGAAGCCACCATATGACACTAACATGAGTGAGAAATTCACGCTGTAACTCAAAGGTCACTCTGATGATAAAATCGCACTGAATCTCTGAATTCAGTCTGCAGTGTTTCTTGGGGTTTGATGCCCAAGAAGGAGATCTCATGTAAATAATATGAAACAACCAAACACTTCCAACAAGATTAAATTCTCTCTCATTTTCATTCAACTTGTGAGTTCAGTAAACACACCGCATTAGTGATATGGCTAAAGAGTTAAGATCGAAAAACAGTGAACAAAGTCAATACTATATGATCTAGAATATATGCACTCTAAAACAAGTTGCACTTCCACTCAAAAAAATTCATCAAGTCAAAGAACACATTAGTGATATAGCTAAAGAGTTAACATCGAAAAACAGTGAACATTTCTTTTACTTTCTTTTAAGAACCGGATTGGCAGTAAGCATCGTTTTGAGTACAGAGAACAAGAATGTTGCAAGACAGCAAGACAATCACCACAGAGCCAAATCAAGAATTGTAAAATGTGGGAAAGAAAGAAGAAACAAGAATACCTGGACAAGGATTCATAGTGCAAGTATGCCGCCAAATCTGAGTTCAGGCCCTGGCCACCGCCATCCGTTCTTTGCTGGTTCGACGACACTTGGGCATGCCGCTGGCCCAACGCCGGCAGCAGCGGCAACAGAGATGAACCCATTTGGTGCCCATTTGGCTGTGGTTGCTGGTCGGCGAGGAATGGCGCGTCCTTGGCAGACCCCGGCGACAGGAACGCCATTGTGGCGCCGGCGCCGCCCCCGTGCTCACCGTTCGCGTAGGCCGCGGCCTGCTGCACCGAAGTCGTGTCGGGCTGGTGCCTGCCGAATCCAACCGCGTCGGCCAGCTGCTGCTCCTGCAACATCTGTTGCACCGTCGGCAGCTGCTTCTCCTGCAGCATCTGTTGCACCGTCGGCTGGTGCCAGTACGGGTGGCCTTGCCCCAGCGAGATGTCGGGCTCTGTCCCGGAGTACTGCGCCACGGGCTGCTGCTGCTGCGTGATCATTTCCTGCTCTCTGGCGAGCCCCGCTGCGGCGACCTGCCTCATGAGCATTTCCTGCTTCTTTCCATGTCTGCCATGGCGGGGCGGACAACTCCTGCGCCTGCAGGATCCCCTGTGTTGACCCGTCCGGGTGGCCGTTCCCAAGGGTGATGCCGAACTCTTTCTGGGCGTGCCGAGCCTCGGCTTGCCGCGACATGATCTCCAGCCTCTTATCAAGGTCTGGCGTAGACGCTTTCTCAGTCTGCTCCAGCATCTCCTGGAGCCACGCAGCGTCCGGGTCCTGCTGCGTCATCATCGTCCTCACTTCCTGCTCCCATTGCTTCCTGATCATTGCCCGCTCGTCCGCGAGCTCTACTATGGCGGCCAACTCCTGCAGCATCGCCTGGGTTTCGCCGTCCGGGTGGCCGTTTCCAAGGGCGATGTCGAGCCCAATCTGAGCGTCCTGCTGCTGCTGCGCGCCCGCGGCCAGCGGCATCATCTCTTGCTCCGCGAGCACCGCCGCGGCAGCGTGCCGCGAGTTCATGTCCTGCACTCCGGCAACCTGCCCCGCGGCGGCCACCACCTGCTGGTGCATGTCCGGGTGGCCGTACCCCAGGGTGAGCTCCGTGTCATCGTATTGCGCAGCGAGGTTGTCGAACTGACGAGCGCCTCCGGCGGACAGCAACTCCGCCGCCGCGACCTGATGCTGCTGGAGCAGCAGCAGCATGTCCTGCTCGCTCGCCACCTGCGACGCGGACGCGGCAGCCGGCTGGTGCGCCTCAGCCATCTGATGGTGCCACGGCGACGCGTGGTGCACCGCCGCGGGGTCGTGGTACTGCTGCGCCCAGGCGAATTGCTGCAACATGTTGCCCGTCGTCTTGGCAAGCTCCGCCGTGGAGGCTTCCTCCATCTGCTGCGCCATCTCCTGGGGCCCGTCACAAAACCCGGCGTACTGCGGGGCGGGGTCTTGGTGCTGCCACGCAGCATTCGGGATCTGCTGCGTCATCGTCAGCACGTCCTGCTCCCTCGCGACCCCCGCCGCCGCGTCCCACTGCCCCATCTCCGTCATCACGTCATTCTTCATTATCTTCTGGTTTCTGGCGTGCTCTGCCATGTCCAACAACTCCTGCAGCTGCAGCATCTCCTGGGATATGTCAACCGGGTGGCCGTGCCCGATGGCGTGCTCGTTCTCGGCGTGTTGCGTCACAAGGTGCTGCTGCTCGCCCGTGGCGCCGGCGAGCTGCATCATAGCTTCCAGCAGAACCGAGGTGCTGCCCTGTCCCGGCGTTCTGCCCGCAGCAGCATCTCCTGCATGGCGCGGTTGCCCTGTCCCAGCGTGCTGTCCCGCAGAATCGACGTGCTGCGGCGGCGCGGTTGCCGGGGCCTGCACCGACCTCATCGCCTCCTCCCGCGATGCCTCTGCCACGGCAGTCAGCTGCTGCGCCTCCGACATCTGCTGGTGCAGCTGCCCGTGCCCGTACCCCTCCGGGACGCGCGGCGGCAATGTCTCCCCGTGCTGCGCGGCGAGGTGGTGGCCGTGCTGCTTTGTGGGCGCGGCCTGCCGCATCAATAGCTCCTTCTCCCTCTCGGTCTCCGCCACCGCCATCTGCTGGCGCTCGCGCTCGTCAGGGAAGCCCGGCGGCCTGGAGCTGCGCTGCTTTGCGGCCCGCAGCATGAGCATTGTCTGCTCGCTCAAGGTGGGCTCGCGGTGGCGCTTGATGACGTCGATCCCCTTCGCGTTCCCGGCGTTCCTCCCCGTCCCCGTGCCCGGCTCGTGCAGCTCCCTCCACCTGGCCTCGTTGGCCTTCCGGACGCCGAGCAGCCTGGCGTCCTGCTCCCTGGCGTGCTTGAGCGCGGCTTCGACCTGCGCCCGCGCCTCCACCCTGACCGCGGGCGCCGCGGCCGCGACGTCGACCGGCTCGGCCGCGGCCAGGGCGCCGAACTCCCTGGCGATCTCCTCCCGCGCCGCGTCCACCTGCTCCCTGGCCTTGTCGTTCACCTCCTGGAGGATGCGGATGTAGGAGACGCGGCCGAAGGTGGGGTCCCGCTGCCGCGCCTTGGCCTCCTCGACGAGCGTCGCCGCGGCCACCCGCCGCTGCTCGGGGAGCTCGATGCGCCCCAGCATCTTGGACACGTTGCTGGCGCCGAAGACGCCGTGCACGGCTGCGAAGTCGTCCGCCGTGAAGTAGGGCGCGAAGACGCAGCCCGGCACGCACCTGCGCCGCAGCGTCCTGCACGCCCCGCACGGCGCCCCCGCCCCCGCCGCCGCCTGCTCCTCGTCGTCCGGCATCTCCTCCTCCGCACAACGCAGCGCAGGGCGACACCTCCGATCGGCTTCGCTCCTTCGCAAAGCAGGGAGGGAGGGAGGGAGGAGAGAAGCGTAGGCGATCAGCGTCACCGACCTCCCAGGCGGTGCGATGATCTGGCGGAGGTGTTCGTCCTCGTTGGGAAGGGAGAAAGAAGGTAAGAAAGTAGTTGGGATCCTGCTGGTCGTGGGTAAAGTTAAATGTGCATCATATGCTCTGTTTGTGGGCCCTACGGCTAAGAGGAAGAACTGAGATTACACGAGTGTGTCTGGGCCCAAGTTAGTTAGGGGTGCGGTTAAAAACTGGATGCTGTGGATATTCCATTAGTAAGGATAATTCAAATTATGATGAGTACAACTGTACAAGTAAACGCACGTAATCGCCACATATTTTTTTTGGACAAATACTGGTAATCAATCCGTTGAAATTTAACGATGTACAGTATTTAGGGAGCAATCCGCTTAAACGGCCAATTTGTGTGTTTACGCACAACCAAAAGAGTATCCACATTAATTCTCAAAATGCTTATAAATTACCACGTTAATTTACGAAATTAAATTAAAGGGCTGATAGATATGATAAATTACATACCACTGCATCATTAAAAAAAAACCAAATACACTACTTGGTCATGCCATTTCTTAATAAGAAAGACATGGAGGATAAGAACGAAGAAAAAACATGAAGCCAACCACATATGTACGTCATACATAATGTATTTATTTTTAACGTTCAAATTCAAATGATATGATATATGATAAAATACGTACAAACATGCTTCGATACATTTTTTGTTTTAAAAAATAAAAACATAATAATCATATTAAAAGAGATACAATCCAATACAAGAAGGATAATGCTATAATCATATATGAAGAAAATATGACAAGCCTTCGCTTTGTTAATTAATCTACCTAGCTAAGGCTACTATCCCCTCATAACAGAGGAATGGGATGACTTAATGTGAGATAAAAATGTGTTATACTTACGATGCTATAGAGCATAGTGCTGTCAAAAGTGGTAGCAGCTATTAGATTGTCTATCCTGCATTCCTACCGGTTGAGTAGATGAATGCACGCAACCGGCCCTGGTCTGGGCGGGGGTGCCCATGGCCATGGTGGCGGCGGGAAGGGAGAGGGGAAGGAGGAGGCCACCGCAGGTGCGGTAGGGTCTCCGGAGTTCCACGGCCACGTCCGCGCCCGTGGAGCTTTGGCAAGATCCTACCGCGCCACAGCGAGGCGGTGGGCGGCGGGCGGCGACGACGCGTCGAGAGGAGGAAGAAGACGGTGAAGAAACAAATCGTGTGTTCAGACACTCGAGCGTGGCATAGACATACTCTATTTATACATTTCTTCTATATTTCAGGTGTCTGAATTGTAAGATGATTTCAGGCCACACTCTTGTACCACCAACTATTACAAGTAAATTATTACTTTTGTGATTTGTTATTTATCTTTGTGTCATAACGTATTAAATTTTTGTCATTGTCTACCTATAGAAATAATTGTAAATTGTTAATTGTCTTTGTGCCAACCCAAATCAGATTTTATCGAGTTTTTTATTTTATCTAATGGATTTTTTTATTCTCGGTACAAAAAATTGCTGACTATGCATACAGAAATTATGATGAACAAAATCTACAATTTTAATAAAAAATATTAATGCAATAATCGTCAACTGAAAGGAAACTAAAATTCAGACATCCAAATTTTAGCAAGTCCCACGTCACGACTAGCGCCCAGCCATGTCTTGCACTTTTGCCTCGCCGCGACGCCGCGTATGCCGCTAGGCCACTTGCATCCTCAGGGTGTTAAACCTCCAAGCTTAGCATTGGCGAACCCATCTCGAACCTTGTAATTTGTATTTTATAGAAAAGAGGATACGAACTAAGCTATATATAGTTAGCAATGGATCTAGTAATTTGATTTTCTATAGTCATTATTAGTCCTGAGTTAAATAATCTTAAGTTTGATGAAACCTATAGGCGCGTCATATGCAATGTACTTTCATATTATAACTTATTTGTTGGCATAGATGTTTGATTTTATTCTCTATAAAATTGATCAAATTTGAAATAGCTTGAGTAGGAATTAATTTATTTTAGAACCGAGAGGCGAGCTTGTCTACAACATAACCGAGTGATTTAGCCCTTGCTAACACCCGGGTGTTTTTTACACACAAAACACACATATTATTGGATAAAAAATTCGAGTGTTTCAAGCACCCTCGACACACGAATTTTTATATCGTTGGATCTACATCCAACGGATGAGATTAATACAGTAAGAAAAATATGTAAGAAAAACAAAAAATCTGACTACCACCATTAGATTGAAATCCAACTGTCACCATGTGCACCTTTAGTTTAGGCGACGGTTATTGCATATATTTTATGTTATTAAATTGCAGTTAGTTCATTGCAATTTCTATAGACATAATCTGTAATTTTTGAATCCGGTTATAAGAAAACCTGATAAACAAAACTAAAATCCTGACAAAATCTAATATATGTCGACACAAAGACAATTAACAAGTCATAATTTTTTTCTATAGTTACACAAGGACTAAAAAAATTAGTATATATGTTGACACAAAGACAATTAACCAGTCATAATTTTTTTTATAGTTAGACAAGAACAAAAAAATTAATATATATGTTGACACAAAGACAATTAATAAGTCATAATTTTTTCCTATATAGTTAGACATAGACAAGAACAAATAATTAATATATTATAACACAAATACATTTTGAACAGTGCCACTAAAGAGTGGGCCCGACACATCGAAACAGATCGAAAGATATCTTATCTGAGTGGGCCTTATCCTGTATGCTATATATATTTTTATAAAGTTAAACTCCACTAGAGATTTCTCTCAACACGCAAGCTATCCACATCAACAATTCGCTAGAACTTACAATTATAGCCCCACTAGAGATTTCTCTCAACATGCAAGCTATCTACGTCAACAATCTACTAGAACTTGCAATTATATCCAACTAGCACATATAATTATGATAGTTACCTCTTCAACCACTTACATGCATTTAGCTGTCCATCGATGTGTCAAACCATCCACAAAAAATAATCTAAGATAGTTTCATTCATATAACTATAAATATAAATAGTCTTTTTTTTAAATTATCTAAAATCGCCGGAGCAACGCACGGCTATTCTCCTACTACACATCTAATCGGGTGGACAAAAAAATCGGGTGACGCCGGGTGCCAAAACTGTTAGTATTGATCTCCCACCAGTTAGGCCCAACGGCCTAATCGGGTTTTGTCTCAGCTTTCGATCGGGGCGCCCAACCCTACATGGTTGGTGGGCCCCGTCAAGACAAATATATAAAGGAAGGTGGGGGCGGGGCTCGCGATCACGAGGTTCACCGCGCCAATCCACCCCACCGACATCCTAAACCCTAGACCCGATCGAAAGTAGGGCGCCGCCAATGACGGAAGTGCCATCGACACCGCAACGCCACCCGACGCTCACATCGCCGCCGAGGACGCCACAAATACCGACTCACTCTCCACCGACCGTCATTGCCGCGGCCAGCAGATGGCATCCAACAACGAAACCCGGCCGAGCTTCAACAACTACGGCATTTGACGGTTTTGCTACTTATCACCTATCTCTCAATCTCTCTCTGTGAAATCCGATTGATCTATTATCGTGCTAAGAAAAAACCGATCCGATGAACATACCTAAGAACCCTAAACCTAACAATGGTATCAAAGCCGTTTCGACAAGAAATCAAACCAATACGATGCGGATCGGGAAAGAAAACAGAAAAACCGAACTAAGACCTAACCCTAGAAAGAATCCCATCACCAATCGGTTCAATCCGAGAAGAAAGAAAAGGAACCCTACCATCTAGATCTCGAATCACACAAAGGTAAACACGGATCGGGGAAATCGGGTTCAACCGAACCCTAACCCTAGATCCCCTTTTCGGGTGAACGAGTGAGAAGAAAAGAAAGAAGAAAGAAATCAAATCCGAAAGGGGAAAGGGGAAAAGAACAAAAGGCGGCTGCACATCAAAACCCTAACCCTAATCCCATTCGGATGAACAAGCCAAAAGAAACACAAAAAAACCCCATTCCCAAACCCTAACCCTAATTCCCGCAAGCGTCGGAATGGGGAAGAAAGCGACGGGAAGAACGAGAAAGAAAGAACACGCCGTTCGTCGGGATAAACCTCCACCGCGCGCGAAGAAGAAGAAGAAGCGCACCGCTTTTTCCGCGGCGCGCCGAAGAAGAAGCCGAGCCGGGCGCGAACTCGCCGGGCTCTGGCCAAGGTAGCGCCAGCCAGCCGCTGACGGCGGAGTGCTCACCTGTTAGCACGCTACAGCTGCGCGAGGGCCGGGCGACGGCAAAGCAAAGATCGCCTCGCCTGCTTTCCTCGCTCGCGTCGCTTTCAGATGGCGGCCCCGCCGCCGCGATCGAGAAAGGAGAGAGAGAGAGCAAGAGCCGAAATGGCTAGGGTTCTGTGGCGCCGCCGCGCCTCGGGTTTTGATCTCGCGAACGGCCGCTCGTCTGTCGGATCGATCGAACGCCGAGATGCGCTGGCCCAAGGCCCAGGCGGTGCGGCGGTGAGCGCTGCTGGCGCGGTTTGCTTGCCCAGCCCAGTTGCGGCTCAGGTGCGGCTCTCAAGAAGCAGCATGGATGTCGGGTCGAGCTTGGTTCAAGCAAGCTTTTGGTCATGTTGGTGAAAAATGAAAAGAAGAACAAGAAAATTTTCCTTATTATTTTCCAGAAACAATTTTAAATGCATATTTTGATGAATTTGAATGATTTTGACATAATTTTCTGTGCAAATTTTATCCAACGATATTTTGCTCAGAAAACAGTGAATTTTAGTGTTTCTGGAAAATAATAATATGAAAACATTATTAATGTTTCAGCTGTGCATGATAATTATTGTTCTCTTTGATTAAATTTGAACCAACGGGATAATTTAATTTTAAGAGAAATGAATTT